GGGGGGGGGGGGGTATGATGCGTACCATCGGAGGAGGATGTCTGGTGTTCTGAACCGAAATGGTTGGTTTGGCTTCGTGTCTTCTTTTTATTTTAAGACGTGCTTGTTTTGGTTTGTTTCGTCCGCCGATTTCGTCCAGGCCTTCCTCCTTGGCTAGCCTTGACCTTTGTCCCTGCGGAGACTTCAGGCCTCGATGCGATGTTTTCCCCACTCTTCGTTTGTGTAGATGTCTCAGGGGCCAATGATGCTTGTCGACCCGAAGCTCCGCGCTGCAACTAGAGCTGCGGTTCTCGCTTACCTTTTTGCCACCAAATACGGACACCGAGATATAGCTAAGCAAGACCCCCGCCCGTTGCCAACCTCAATCGACCATGCAAACTCGCACGCATGTCTTTGCTAATTTGTTTCAAAAGCAAGTCGACGAATATTGTCGGCGTGCTGCATGTTGTCCCAAGCTCGCTTTTTTAGTACTTTCTTGCATGATGCCGGACACACCTTCAGCAACGAAACAAAACAACATAAGATCCAGCGGGAAACGTGAAAAAAACGGAGACGAGCTTGGGAACAGGAGCAGTGTTTTCGCTGTCTGTTGCGTTGCGCACCGTCCGCCGACTTGCGCCCCCCCCCCAAGCTCCGTGTCTTGACAAAAACATACTATTTATACTCCATTATTTTTGTTGGCCATCAGGTGCCGCCGCGGCCGTGGAGCTGTGCGGCGAGGCTCACTCTGCCTTGGGACGACGCGATGAAGACGAGCGAACGTGGGACCATGCCAGCGCAGAGCTGGCCATGGCCTATCTGTGCCTCGGGGTGGAGCGAAGGTGTGTTATTGCGTGTGTTCATAAATGAGTATCGACCGCGGTAACCCGCTGGCCAATGAAAAGGACGTCAGCGCTATGGTACATCAAGGTCCATGGAAGGGCGGCCAAAATTCGAAAAATGCGTGAGGAGCTGAGTGTGAATGCCGAAAATGAACCTATCTACAAATGTTAAATCTTAGCTGAGAGGCGCGCACACGAAAAGCTAGCTGTGTTGTACTTGCTGTGTACCAAGCGGACGAGGGTCGAGGAAGAGGGACGGACGTAGGGTCGGTCATCCCAGGGTCGGGTTAGCCGCAGAGCCAGCGGTGGAGGCATCGACTGCTGTACTTTCGTCGCGGGCGCACGAACTAATTGATGCGACCGGCGGTCGGCGAATTGGCAGAGCAGACCTATGGATGTTGAGTTTTTCGGGTGGGGGGCAGAGGGGCGTGATTTGTCTTATTTTTCTCGCCGGAAGGGTATATAGAGATCGTGCGCCAGCGCTTGGGTTTGGACCCACTAGATTCGCGACCGGGACATGAAGCACCAACTTCATCCCCAGTCTCGAGAGGAGTTGCAACACCAACAACACCAGCAGCAGCAAATCAGCAGTGATGACCATCAAACCAAACACGCAACCGTCGTTCAACAGTCAAGCCCCCTCCTTCCCCCCGGCATCTTTCACCCCTCCGCTTTCAGGCACGAGCTGTTAGGGGCGCTACTGCCGGCGGGAGAAGCCACCGAGGGGGCGGCGGACACGGAGAGGCGGCCGTTGGCGACAGCGTCGCCGGGACCTTCTTCTGTCCCGACCGCCGCGCAAGCCAGGGGCGTGGTGGGGCCGCTGGAGCAAGCCCTCCGGATCTACACGGACATGAAGAACGCTCCGCAGGCGGCTGCGTGCCACTACCAGGTGATGGTGTTTTTTGCTGCTCTACGTGTGACGAACGAGATGCAAGAACCTCACACTCGTTACTAGGTTGGGTTGGGCTGCTTCGTGTGACGAACGATGGACAACGCACCAACTGTTCTTACACTTGGTTTGGGCTGTTTCACGTGACAAATGAGCTATATACAAGTTGGGTTTGGGCGAGTCTCTTGCCTTTGCCAATGTGGTAAGCTCACGAGCGACTACTACTGTTCACTGCTGTTGGGTGCTAAGTTTCTTGTGTGAGGCAATCCTTTTTCTTTCGCACTTTTTTTCTCGTGCACCGAGAAGCGTTCATGCTTCAATGGTTGTCGTGTGTTGCACCGGAAGCACTGCAACAAATCAGTCCTTTCAACTAGTGGCCTACTTAGACCACATAAGTCAGGTAGCTTCGTTACCGGTAGTACGTCCTGGTCCACCCACCCGCCCGGACTCAAAACACCCCCCGATCCAACATTCCTTCGTCGCCGCAGATCGGGCAGTACTACGCCAAGATCCTTCCAGTGTACGCCGCCGGAACAGACTCTGCAGCTTCGTGCGAGCCGACGACGACCAACGCTCCAGAAATTAGCGACGGCGGCGGCGGGCCGTCGTCGGCCCTGCGGGTGGCCAAGGCGTGGGAGTCCGGGCAGCGGGCGGCGCGGCACTTCCTGGCCGCCCGTGCCTACTTCGCGCCTTTCGAGCACGGCCCTACCTCGGTCATCCTCGCCCTAGACCTCTGCAACCTTTACCTCTTCCTCGCGGAGATGGGAGGCGGCCCCGCTGCTGCTGCTGCTGCCGCCGCCACCGGCGGTAGCAGCGGGTCGGAACCTTTCTCTCACGATGGCGGTAGCGGTGTAGACGCGGCCGCCGTCCCCATCCCTTCCGTTGCGGGCGGTGACGCCGCCGAGGCGGGGGGGGCTCATCGGCTCCGGCCTACCGCGGCCGCGCGGTTTCGTTGCCTGGAGGGGGCTCTCCGGTGCCTGCTGGACACGAGGGCCGTGTTCGCAGACGCCGGGGTTGATATAAAGATGGCCGCCGGTGAGGCGGCAGGCCAACAGCAGCAGCAGCAGCGGCAGCAGGAGCGCCTGAGACGGCTGCTGGAGTCAGTGACGGTCTGTCTCCCGAAGGTGATGCAGGCGCTCGTCCGTGCATCGGTCGCCATCGAATCGTCGTCGTCGTCGCCTTCGCCACCTGCTGCTGCTGCTGCTACGGCCGCGTTCAAGTCCATGTACAGGCGGAGTCTTACGGCCACGAGGGGCGGCGGGGAAGGCGCGCAGGCGATGCTCGCCGGGTTGGCCGTAGAGTACGGGGCGGTGGTGACAAGCTAGGAAGGCGGTGTTTCTGGTACAACAGCGGATCTGAGGATTTGACTCAAGCCCTCGGTCGGACAGTTCGACGACAGCGCGTTATTTGACTCAAGCTCAGTAGGGTAACTTTTGATGACAGCGTGTTTGTGTTCCACGTAGTAGGTGCCCGTAGGGGGGGGGGGGGGNNNTCGGCGAGTCGCATGAAGGGTGCGCTGCATCCTGCTAAGGGTGTTCGGCATCTTGTGCTTAAATCCTTGCGTACGGATGACGGCTGCGTATGACTTCATTTACTTGGGGTGCTTTCACTTCCTGAGACAGTTGTAAGCACTGTGTAACTGCCTCGAGGGTGCTTGACCATTTTAACACAACGTGGTGCGATCATCCCCCTTGCGCGGAGCGAGGGTTCTCCACCCCGCACAACATGATCTACTCGACCACCATTATGGTTACCGTCAAAAAAAAAAAAAGAGGTAAAAATAAAAAACGGTCACCTGGTTGCCGAGTTCACGAAGTGAAATGGCTTGTTTTACAACGTCGTTGCCAAGCGACGAAACCCAATCCCGATGGCAAACACCGGGGGGGGGGAGTGCCCGTGGGGTGCTGGTAACGGATCGGAGGGTCTAACTCAAGCCCTTTCGGCTGAAGTGATTTCATGTGTGCCCGGCTACCGATCGGCGTGATCGATGACAAACAGCAGCGTTTGGTAGGCTGTCAAAAGAGGAAGCAAGAAGTACACGAATAGCAGGGGCGTTACCAAGAGTAGCGGCATCCATGTTCTGGTCTGCGTCCTCCCCTCCCACACCTCCGCGTTCTCGGGAAAGACGTCCCTTCCGTCTTCTAGCCTTTGATTCCGCAACGGTAAAAACAAAGAAATCAACATGGAGGTCCGAACGTCACTCGATGTGGGGGATTGCACACCCGAGGCGGAGGTGTCAAGATTGCCCTTGAACCCAAAGCCTCCGCACACACACACGCACACACCCTGTGCCCCCCCTTCGCGGGTTGACTTGGTGCCGGCCTGTCTCAAAAGGCCTCTCTCTGCACCGCCGTGTGCACGAAAATGAGTAAAATCTTGACTTGGTGTTCCAAAGGCTTGTTTCTCTCTGCATTCCGGAACGACCACGGCAACAAGCAAAAAAAAAAAACATGCGAGTGAACTGACCCCTTTTTCAAACCACCGGTTCCTAATCTGACTACTACATCTGAAAAACATGGGCGCAACCTGCCGAACATTAATTGATCCAAGCACCGAAACGCCTTCCATACGATCAACACACCGAAAGGGTGTAATTTTTTCTCACCAACAAATATTTCACTTTGGCAAACACCCTGGAAAAAAAAAAAGGGGTTCTGATTAGCACCAGGCACAATACGCAGCATTAAATTGAAGCTGTATGATTGGACGATGTTCACCGTCATGGGTGAAAGTACAGAAAGATGAGTGGACTTGACATCAGGCAAAAATCTTTCATCAACTGTCCCCAATGATAGTCGTGCCGAACGGGTGGTTGGGGGGTTCGATACGGGGGAGTGGCGTCCAAAAATGGGGTTGAAAGAGGTGGGGTTGGTTGTGTAGGCACGAGGGGTCTTACGATAGCGATCGATCTTTCACTGGAAGAGAGTTGCGCCGCAAATTGCGTTAAAAAACATGTAAATCAATCCAACAATTCGGAACAACAGCGAGCTCTCCTCCTTCCGCCCCCCGCCCCCCCGCCTTCCCCACCGAAATCACCCCCTCCCCTCCCCCCCCTGTA